CAAGAGGACATTTCAGTTATTCTGTGATATACAGAGCTGCATGGAAGCAGAACCACACAGATCTATCGTGAGGGGAACACATTTAGTAATAGCACAGAAATCAGTGATCTAAGTCAATATTTGGATTCTTTGTCCTCAGTGGATTTAGCAACCCTTTCAGTCAGTCTAACAGAAATCTGTGAATGGAATAGGTTGAGTAGAGATAGCAGGAAAAAAAAAATTTCTTTTTGTAGTTATACCTCCTTAGAGATTAAAGAAAAGCTTTTGGATAACTGCACTGGATTATGCCAGGAAAGCTCAACACAGGGCATAAATTACATAATCATAATGTATAGGCTTATGCTTTACCAACACTGTATGCTTTACACTGCAGCAAAAAGATATATTTGGGAACAGGGGAGCCCACTGTGTGCTCCTCTGCCACAGCCAATACCAGTGCCTGCAGACCTTTGTGCTGCAGTGCAGGACGGCACACATAGATACAGCCTCATAGAGTCACCAAGGTTGGAAAAGACCTAAAAGATCACCCAGTCCAACCGTTCACCTATTCCCAATAGCTCCTACTAAACCATGTCCCTCAACACAACATCCAGTCTTTCCTTGAACACCCCCAGGCTCGGTGATTCCACCACCTCCCTGGGCAGTCCATTGCAGTGCCTGACCACCCTTTCTGAAAAGTAATACTTCCTCATGTCCAGCCTGAATCTCCCCTGCCGTAGCTTGAAAATGAGCCCAAGGGGCTTCCCCTTGCACCAGAGGAAAGAGAATAAAGAAGAGATAACAAAACAAACCATGACAATTAGCTTTTCTTCATTTCCTTCCCACAAATCCTTCTTTTTTTAAATACCTGATAAGAGATGGAGAAGGAAGGAAAACCATCATCCTCTAATCCCAAACAGGAGCAGCACAAACAGACGTGCTAACTGCTCGCTAGCTCTGTTCTTGTGAGGAGACAGAGATGGACTGTGGTAAGCTTTTAGCTCTCAGACACACCTGAAAAATACAGGCATGGACAGCCAGGGCCTGCATGCTCAGGCAGAGGGAGCTGGGACCGGCCAAGCTGGCACTGACCAATTGCAGCAAGTAGCAATGTCCTTAACCTGCCTGCACGTGCATTGGAGAGGAGTGATGCTTTTCTGCTCTGAAGAGGGTTTGCAGAAGCAAACACCTCTGGGAGGAAGGCAGAGTCAAATCTGTCAGAATGACTATTGTTTTACAAAAAAGCCACAACCCAGTTACGTTTCTTGAGATTTATTCTTGTCATTTATTGCTGCTGCAGGCTGATGGCAGGTGAATGTTCCCACCACAATAAGTGAAAAATAGCCACCTACTGGATGTGTCTCAGAGGACTTACAAGCTTTGTGTCCAGCCAATCAAGCAAAACAGGGGTGGCAGGAATGAGGAAATAGATTTACAGGGAAAGGAAAGAGGCTTTTTTGGGCTGTGTTTTGGTTTGTCTCATTGTCTAGAAGATCCGAGAAATTTGCAGTCATAATAAATCCCTGCTGGTTGAAGCAAAGCTGAGGATGCTGTAATCCAGCAAGTGGGTGCATGCAAAGTGCTTATGGTGCAGGCACACTGAATGGCCACGTGAATGCTGTGAGCTTGGTACAGCATACCTGAATGCAAAATCTTGCTTCAAAAATGTGCATTTGTTTTCTGAAATAAAGGGAGTCTTGCAAAAAGAAGCTTAATATCTTAGGTAGACTGCAGCTGCTGAAGTTTTTCTTCCCACTATCAAGTCGTGCCCCGTGAGTGTTTGGAGGAAAGACAGACACAACATGGAACACTGCATTTCCTCATGACGTCTGTCCAGCTCCTCTGAGTTCCCCTCCAGTAGCCACAGCAGCTCACGGGCAGCAGAGTTGTGGCAACACAACACAACACAACACTTACCACTGTCTGACAGACTTTTATAAATACAGGCAGGAAAAACAGAGTGTCTTTTGCCTTGAGGATGAAAAATAGTTAGTGTGCTTTTAACTACTCAGAGACCTGAACTCACCTTGGGCTGAAAGAGGTAATGATATTCTGCTGGAAGGGCACGACTTGTTCTCATGAAATTAGATTACGTTGGTTTTAGAAAGTACATGGAACTGGCCCTCTGCACAGACTCCACAAGTAGTTCAGCGACCTGATATTAAACAATTGTATACTTTGTTCAAAAAATAAACAGATGGAAAATTAATACTAATGAGCCACCAATCTTTAAGCAGAACCCAGAACATTCAGTCCAAGAATTGTCCTGTCAAATTCTCTAACTTTCAACAGAATACAAAGGTACATAGCCTACATCTAAACCTGTACTTATAAAAATAATGATGCTGCTTCTTTTTTAAATGGTAGATAAGTGTTTGCTGGCTGAGTTGCAACTATAGTGTTTTTGCAATTAGCAGTTCTTTGCAAATATGTGTATATGCAATACATATCTATATAATATGTGCTTAGGCAAGTTTTGCACTGATAGGCAAGTTGGCAGAGAAATCAGTTTTCGTTGTCCATCACGGCTGGATTCAATAGAAATGTTGGCTGACTTCATCACAAGCCTTGGAAACCATTAGAGTATTCAAAACTTAGGCAGTCAGATGCTTGCTTTTATTTCTATTGACAAAGGAAGAGGAGGGATGAGTAAATGTAAAACATTTCCTTTCAACATTGAGCTCAGAGAATGCAGCGTGGTGCAGGGAGGAGGTAGGATCCAGGACATCTGGGCTATATTTATTGCTGGCTTTGCTGCCAACCTGCTTTGTGACTTTGTGCAAGTCACTTTTTTGCTTTGCTACCTCACTTTCTGTGAGGCAGGGAGAGCTGGTCATCTTCTTGAGGTGCTCTGGGCAAGTGCAGGGACTTTCTTGGTGGCCATGACTAGATGCTGCAGCATGTCTATGTGCATTATATCAGACAATGCTGGCTAGGTGATCAATACCCCGGAGCTGGGCTGTTGGAGAGCCCAAAGTGAAAGGTGTAGCACTGTGTAGCACTGCACCAGTGTAAATACCTACCATAGGTACTAGTAACCAGTGCCTTCTGTTACTACAGATGGAAAGGTCATTCACGGCATGAGTCAGATTTGCAGCCTCTCATCTGTGCTTATGATCTTACAAGATGAGCATGCTATAGTTTCTTTGAAGCCAATGGATGTTTTCCTTGAGTATGCCCAGAATGAAATCTGAGTGCTTCATGATTTGATCCTGTGATACTAAACGACCAGCAGATATCATCTGAGTCCTACAGAGTTTTGTAGACTTCCAGCTGTGACATTTTCCTATCCATTTAGCTACTGATGGGTCAGAATAGCTTTTATGAATATCCCTTTGAAAATGCCTGGAACACTAAAGCTTGGTCAGACCGTCCTCTCCACAGAGCTGTATACAATCACACATTTCTCTGTTAAGTGTTGGGAGAGACAATGGGAGAACTTGCCATGAATTGTGATAATTCTGTCTTTATTCAGAGTAGAATCTGTGAATAAAGATGCAGTGTGCGGTGTAGGGCCAGAGTAATTAACAGAAAACACCGATCTTTTCTGTGTCTGTTCATTATGCAGCAATAGTCTCATTTATTTTTTCACCCTTGAAGGAGAGAAATTATTAAGAATTACAGAGCAATGATACAGATTTTGTGAAGATGCAGAGCAAAGATACAAATTTTGCCTGGCGTAATGTAGATTTGCTGTAAACTATTCTAGATTAGGAATCATTTTAACTGCACTGATCTTTTCTCCTGTGCAGGGTAGACATGCATTTTTCTTCCCACGGTAACATGCTTGGCAACCTGAATCAGACAAGTGAACTGGGGTGCAAGACACCTGCGTTCATCCTTATGTTTGGTAGTAGCACAGTCACGTTGCCTCTCATCTTTGCTTTCCGCAATGCTCTGTCCACTGTCCTCTCCTTTGGCTCTTCCCACTAGTTTGATGAAAAAGCTCATTGAGATAGCAGTGTTCTTTCACTGTGTATTTGTACAATGCAATGAGGTGTCACTCTTGGGACAGGCTCTTGGAAACTCCCGAGATATAAATCGTACTAGAAATTAATTAAGTTAATACCACTGTCTTAGATGTCAAGATAAAGTGTAAAAATTATCTTCAGTAAAGTGATCTGAATGTTTTATAGTGTGATCCAAAGCTTCTCCAGACTTCATAGGCTTAAATCCATCCCTTAACACCCAGCCAGGACTTCCTGCAGTGTACTCCAGTGCTACACTGACAAGTCTGTAATGTGAAATCAAAGTTGTGTTTGAGTTGCTGAGGGTTAAAGCCGGTTATTCCCACAGTTCCCATTTCCTAATGTTTTCCATTCTTGATGTTCTTCACTTTTAATGTCCATAGTAGCTTGTGCCAAAAAAGGTGTTTCCTATCATGTTCTGCTCGCATTGTGTTGTGAGGATTTTGTTTTTATTCCATATTTTCAATCCCCAGAGAGCTAAGGTTAGTCATAAACTTGCTTTTGGCTATCAGATTCATGCGTGGTTTGCTATAGCAACAAACAAAAGCATTAGTCAGAAACTGGCATGAAGATATAAACACATTTTTTTTTGTGATATTACCCAGAGTTAGCTTAATTTATGTGGTACACTGTTGCCACACAACTGAATCCCAGTTAGACTACTATTGTAGAGTGTGAGCTTTATAAAAAATACAAAGAGTATATTACAAATATACTCTTTATAATAAAGAGTTTTATAAAAACTTTATAATAAAAAGTCTTTATAATAAAGAGTATTATAAAAAATACAAAGAGTATATTACAGTGAAATGATCAAATCAAATCAAAAATGATCAATAAAATCAATCATTTTATTACATGAAATGATTGATGTTGTCATTTGAAGATCGTAAGCTGAATTCTGCTATTGCACTGCTGTAAGTCAGTCTGAACTCCTTCATCATGTATACTTAGGTCAGAGGACAATATCTCACCCTGGATCTATCGAATAAGAGGAAAATCATCATCAAGCAAGCAAAAAGGCACTTTGCCTTTGCTGTTTCAACTCCATAATTTTACTGCAGCAAAATGATGAGAGGTAAGCATTATCAGATTGCAGTAGATGGATTCAATTCATTGCCAACACAGTTGGAAAGCATTATCTGCAGCATGGCAGGGACGGGGAGGCTTGGTTAAAGATAGTCTCTCTCCGGAAGTGTTGATGCAGCACTGGGAAGGTGCGGTTTGTGCAGAGCCACTGTCTATCTGGCTCTGGGGACGAGAGGAGTGGCTTGTGCAGCAAGCACTGGCATCTCTGAGGAGCTGGCTGGGTTTGTGCAGCATTTGCTGAAATCCCACAGCTAGACAGCTACCAGTCCGTGAGCCAGCTCGTTTAAAGGTTGCTTCAGAGGGTCTGTGGAAGTGCTGATTATTGCCTAGGCAGGGCAGGCACATTCCTGTTAATGCTTTATTCCAACTGTTCATCTTCGCTGCACCTTTTCAGGAACGTGAGCCCTCCTTGTTTTTGACAGCTGTATTTAATGCAAAACACATGCACAAGAAATGTGTTTTCCAGTCTCCCTGGGCTGGCATTGTTCAGAAAGGAGGGCTTATACTTCCCTAGAAACCGTTTGGATACTTTTTCAGACCTCTCTCTTCAGGCATTTAGCTGTAGAAGTGTTCGTGACCTTCTCTACTAAGCTGTATGCGGAATAAGATATGAGTACTATCCACGTGTGTCCAAGCAATGAGTAACAACTGTCCCAGAGCCTTTATATCCCTATATGATGCTAATACCAGTCCAGAAGTTCTTAAATGGACTGGTGGTTCCAGCTGCAGCAGATAAGCCCACAGCAACGTGTGCTTTGCACGGCACTCTTAAAATGGGCCTTTGACATCCAGGGATCAGGAACAAGATCTAGCACCAAGTGTTGGCAAGCTGTGTTCCAAAAACCAAAGAACTCTTTTCCCTAACTGAATCAATCAGTGGAAGAACATGTCCCAGCCGACCTTACATTTTCGCCCTGGCTCTGCTCACTATGCTTAGCTTAGCACAATGGCCCTGAGTTCTAAGCACTGGTGTCTTTTCAAAATCTTTTGAGATAATCTTACCGTATCGGATTTGTCTAGCACATAAGTGTAAAAGGACTTATTGTTCAGATAGCAGCTCCTGAAGTAGGACTGACTGTAGGCAATGGATGGGTTGTATTTGTTGATTTCCCATCCATGCCCAAGTGCATCAAACCATGCACTGAGAGATGCCAAAGAATTTCTTTCAAAGCAGGTACGCGCTGGTTGCTTGTCCTCTTCAAAGATCAGCCTGGCCATTTTTCTGTTTCCTTTTTTCCCTTTGTCAAAAAGGGACAGACCTTTCCCACAGGAACGTTCAAAGGGTGTTGAGGCACTGGCACAGGTTGCCTAGAGAGGTGATGGATGCCTCATCCCTGGAGACACTAAAGGTGAGGCTGAACAGGACTCTGAGCACCCATTGAAGCTGTCAGTGTCCCTGTTCAGTATAGGGGAGTTGGGCTGGATGGTCTTTAAGGATCCCTTCCAACTCAGGTGATTCTATGATTCTGAAGTAGTGCTCAAATTACTTGTAATAAAGAAAAAACAAATTCTGCTCTCAGAGTAGTTGCAGAATTCTGTCAAATCCAACCCCAAACAGTACTATATAAAGCAAATTGTTCGGTCATTGCTGAAATGTTACTGACATCTACCTTCACAGAGAACCTTGGGAACACAGAATTCAAAAATACTACAGTAAGACAATGATGAAGCTTTTGCTTTTTGACAGTAAATTGAAAATTATTCCAGCTTATGAGTTCAAGGTAGGAATCATTTTCCTTTTCAGGCTTCACTGTAAGCTTTATGTGGTTTATACTCTGTTTATACTCTCTTATATGTTAGCCTCAATCTAGAACAGCTGTTCATAAAGAAAAATATTACAATGTGCCTTCAAAAGGAGCACATCCTGTTTTAAATGAATTGAAAAAATATTTACCCTATGTGTGAACAGACCATTATGATAAAGAAAGTTACTCATTTCCATAAAACAGCATTATTTTCTTATGACAAGAAGGGCTCTGAATGTTTGCAACTGTTATGATTCAGCCCGAGGGTTGATAATCAAACCCAAAAAATGGTTTTCTTGGTGCTTTCAAACAACTCCACCCATCTCAATTATTCCCCCAGTTACTACATGGGTGAAACTCAGCACAGTTAATTTCTCATTATTTCAGTCTTTAATCATAAAGAAATTCAAGATTGTAGTAATGAGTCTTTAAAAACTGCTTTTTTTTTTTTTTTTTCCCCAGTTGTTTATACTAGCCTCCATGAAACATAAAACTGGAATCTACTTCCTTAACTAAATTATGCTTTCATCTAATCTGTTAGGCAAGCATGCTGCTTTTTATTTTTGGGTGCCTCAGTGGCTGTCCCCTCTCCGCAGTGGTGCGGAGGGGGAAAATGAGATTATTCAAATAATTCTCCTTCTATAACTTAATACGTATATCCAGTGCTATTCAGCCTCAACTTTTTTATTCTAATTTCAAAGAGTACTCATTAAGTTCACAAATTGAATTTGTAAATGAGAAACCGTTATCAAATTGAAGCTTAGAATATGCTGAGGCAAAAGGAAATTCTGGTGTACTTTTGCTAGGGAAAGCCTTCCAAAACAGAGGTGAGCACCAAGTAACCAAAACAAAGAGGCTGTGCTTTTAGAAAGAATTGGCAGGTCACCTGTTGAATCTTTTTGAAAACTGACTATTTAGGGGCTGAAAACTGAGTCTGTAGTTCACATTTGAACTACATTGATGTGAATAGTGCCATATTAATAAATTTATTAATTGACTCAGTGCATGAATTTACCTGAAAATGAGCTTTTGTGCTTTTGTGAACTCTCTGTTTCCAGAAATTCTTAGTTTTTAGGGAGACTTCCGTACACTACATAAAAACAAGAGAAATTGGGCGGTGCCAAATACTGCCTTGCTAGCATCACTGTTTATTGACAGAAAATATTTTTATCTTAACAAAGTGAGGGAACGGCTAACTTTATCTTTGATGTAAAATATTTTCCCACAAGTATTTTCTGTCACCTTTTCCCCATATCTCTGGTATTACATATACATTAAGGAACTTAAAAGCTTAGAAGATATTTTCTTCTGTCGTGATTTATGTCCAAACAAGTTGCCCAGGGAACTCTTTCTCAAACAGAAAACCTGCTTCCAAGGGCTGTTATTTATATAAAAGACCCCATAAAAGGTTGTGAAAAAGCTACAGGGTTTTTTCCTGCATTCCTGTTTTGAGAGGGGCTATACCCAGCATACCAGAGAGACATGCACAGTAACATCACTCCATTAATACTGCTAAATCTGGGTACTTAATTTTGACTGAATTTTATCAGTGGAGTCGAGAGAAATAAAAGTTTTCCAAGACAGCAAGAATCTTTAGCTTAAACTATGTAAACACACAATATACAAATATAATCATAAAATCACAGAATCACCAAGGTCGGAAAAGACCTCTAAGATCTTCCAGTCCAATCGTTCACCTACCATCAGTATTTCCCTACTAAACCATGTCCCTCAGTGCGACACCTAAACAGTTCCTGAACACCTCTATGGACAGTGACTCAACCACCTCCCTGGGCAGCCTGTTCCGGTGCCTGACCGACCACTGTCTTGGAGAACAAGCATTCCCTAACATCCAACCTAATCTTTTCTTTTTTACAACATATTGATTCTGGTTACGATGTTTCTTAAGTGGTTTTGAGGAGTGATCCCTTTTGAAAAATCTGTTTCTAACTTGGATGGCGGTAAGTGGCATTTATAGAAAGCCTGTATGCATTGATTTGGGCTTTTTACATGTTAGTAGAGCTTCTGAGACATGTTCTTAAGGGAAGAACGTGCATCCTATCAAAAGCACCTAGAATTAGCATCCTTCTTTAATGAGAGAGCAGGCAGTAGTCAGCTTATCCTGCTACTTCCTGAGGGGCATGGTTTAGTGGTTGATGGTTGGAATAGATGATCTTGATGATCTTTTCCAACCTTAGTGATCTCTAGATCACCACCGGGCTACTTTAAGAGACAGCCTTGGGCTATGGCTGCTACTTCTCAAGCGATACTTTCTCTGAAGACTGAGAAATTTAGTTTCCAGGGCTGTCAATCAAGAATACACAGGGAGAATGATGGTTTTTAATATATTTGTCTGATTGTTTCTAATTCTGGAGGGCTGTGTTTTGGCAATGTAGCAGGCAGTCTGCTGTGGGAAAAACCTAGATTCTTGGGGTGATGAATCAGTGAGGAGAAGGAATGTGGGAAAGTGAATTCATGTGAGCTTTATGGGCCTTATCTGTAATAGGCACCCACCTGCCGCTGCTTCTAGGCAAGCCATGATAAGAGCTGAATTCACAGCTATCTAGTGGGGAGGACAGCAAGAAGAGTGCTGCCCATGGGAGGAGGGCAGCTTCACACTCACTTTCATAAGGCTTGTTTGTTATATAGATGGAGGAGTTTATTTCTGAGGAATATCAGAGACATCCCATGTTGTTTTGTTGGTGCTAAGAGCATTTTCCAGCTGCCTTTTTCACCCAGTCATTTTCAGCTGTATTTTAACCAGCAAGACAAAGGATAAATCAGGAGAGAAAAATGGGTATCAGCCACTACTGCCCACTTTTGCTGTTTGTTTTGGACATCATTCTAGCACTGTTCTCACAACAAACTTGAGTAGGGAGTTTCTTTTCAAACACTCTGTCACTCCTGTAAAATATTCTTTTTCAGTATTAGATGAGATATTGGACTATTCAAATGTTTTACTAAATATTTTATTCTAGCACCAGAAGAATTGTGTGAATCCAGCTAAATGCTTTCATTGATCACGAGAACTACTGAAATCATGTGGCAGTAATTTTCACCCAAGTAGTGGGAAATGGTGATAGCAGGATCAAACCCACTAACCCAGGATCTGGGAAATTTCAATTTGGCAAAAGAAAAAAAAAGGGGAAAAAAAATCCCCTGTACTTTTCTTGCTTAAATATGACTCAAGCTGAGAGTCTGTGCAGAGCCCTGTTAGGGTGCTTTTGTTCTGATGGTCTGTAAT